CCATCTCAACACTTTATGACAATGCCAAGATCACTCGTATTGACGAGTACCTCTTGACACTCGCCCGTAGGTACCTCACCCGGCTCCATGACCTCCCTCCCACAGAAGACAAACAGTTCAGCAAGGTTTATTGATTAGTTCTTCAGTATAACAGCGTGGCCTAATCGGTAACGTTGATTAGTTCCTTAGTATACCAACGTGGCTTAATCAGTAGCATTGATTAGTTCCTCAGTATACCAACGTGGCTAAATCGGTGATGTTGTTTTTCTTCTCATTTCAGGAGAACATAATTTAATTTCTTTGTAATTAAATTTCGTTTTAATAAGTATACAGTATTAGTAAACTGCTTTTTCAACTGTAAATATGCACAGAATAAAATGTATAAACTAAATCAAGGTACAAGTCTTTCAATTTATACTACTAGACGATTCAGGGTTGCAAAAAAAAAATGTTCTTGTAATACTTCTGGAAAACCCTGAACTATCCTAGTTATCAATACACATAAATACGTTAATTACTTCATGTCAGATCGATGACTTTGTCTTAAGGTTCACTTGAAATTAGTTTTACTATATTATATATTTAATTATTTTTAAATGTTAATTTTTAGCTTTATGTATTTCACACAAAAATAATATTATATATACTAAGGGCTTTGAATGTGTTCAAAAGAATGCAGCTTTAACCAGCTTTAAAACTGAAACCTTAAATGGAAACGTATATATATAAATGAAAAAATTAATTAAGCATATTTAGAAAATTTAGAAAATTTATATAGTTAATGCATAAATAGGATATTTTGCTATTCAAATCGAAAGTAATATATACACATAGTAATTACAATTATTGCCATTCTCGAGTTAAGCACTAAAATTTAAGAAGTCACGCTGTCTTTTAATTTTCAATCAGAATGTTCACATATTCTAATAAATTTAATATTTTTGATTCAAAATACTGACCACAAAAATAATTTTTATACAATACTGTCCACAGCAAACCATTTTCGAATGTCCTATCCCATTCTCAGGGGCACTCGTATAGATAAATGAACATTATTTATTAGGTTTGAAAATCAATTAGTCAAGGAATATCACCAGGGGTGCGGCTCTTTAAGTACTTTTTCAAATTGACCGAGAAAAGATGCAAATACTTTAATTAAACGAAAATAAATATAAATAAAATAATGTACTATAAAACATATTAGATTTTCTTTTTAACGAGCTAACGATTGCAATGGTGAACGTAAATCCAGAGGACATCAACATAATTTACTTTAGTTTACAATCATTTATTGTGTTATCAATAACAAAGGAAATGGGAACCTCAACAGTAGACCAATTAGATTTGTAGAAATCTATCGGAATTAATTGACCAATTATGAAAATATTGTTTGGGGACAATATTTCGCAATTCTCTTATTAATTCTGGAATAAATTTACCCGCGCATGGATTTACTACATAATGAAGTAACTACAAGTAATAAAATAAGAAAACTTATATTGCGTCAATTATTCCTTCTATTTTGTAGTTCGCTTATCTATGGCATTACTCGTACTTCCTTCGTATTTTTCATATCCTTAATTTCTTCCTACCTTGTTGAAATTTTATATCAATGTCAAACTAAGTAGGTATTTGGTACCGGAAGTTAAGAATGTTTAAATAATAGCATGAATCGTATTTTTCTATAATTTATTTCATCCGTTTGCAATCTATGGTATAGGATAATTGTTAAGAGGGCAAATTTTTGAAAAAAATTCAAAATTTCAATTTTATTAATTAATTAA